CCCCCGAGCACTTACTGTTACATTCTACGAAAAGTGTGTGTGCCCTGTTTTACACATAAAATCCCGTAAAGACGTAAAATGTAAGCGTAAGAAAATTAACCAATCCCAATCAAGTATTGTGCTGTCCGTAATCCCAGTAAAAAAAAATATTCGATTGGAATTGATCGATTTTCTTATGCTTATACCTTTTATATCTTTACGGAATTTTATGTGTGAAGGCCTTTAAGCCCCGAACACACAGTTTTTCGTAACAGTAACAGTAAAGTTTCGACCAATCGCGTTGCTCGATTCGTACGGCCTCGGAACGTACGGCCGTTCGCGTTCGCGTTCCAAACCCTATCTCCCTGCTAGAGATTTCCAGGGAACTCGAACGCTTATACAGAAAAGAAAACTCTTCCCGGATCTCCCGACGGCGCGGCGTCTCCAGGTCATTTTGGGTTACCCCGACCGACGGGGTGATCAGTTACGAAAAACTGTGTGTCCGAGCCCTTAAAGCCCCTTGCACAATGCTAGGTTCAGGCAATATAGGAACAGGGAATAGAAATCGGAAATCATGTATAAATGCAGAATAAACAGTGACATAGGCAATAGACACAGAGTTTCCGTCACGTTGGAAATTCTGTGCCTATTGCCTGTTGCCAACCAATCATAGCATTTGAATTTTTTAGGTTGTAATTAACAATTTTTTGGTTATTTCCTGTTCCTATATTGCCTGGCACCGCACCGATATTAATCTCTACGTTCTTGTACGTTATCTCTACGTACGGCGAACATTTTCGGCTTTTCGGAGGGAATAGCCACGCCGCCCTTAACGGTTTCCCACTCTCCTTCGCCATTATCTTCGTCGCGTTTCTTCTTTCATTTTTTTCTTTGCGTTCTTTACATTGCTCCTTTCTCTTTGTTTTATCCTCGTCCTCCTCCTGGGCTAAAGCCCTATGTAAAAAAAAATTATGATGTCATGTAATATATCGTTAAATTTATTATTTTTCATTAAGTAGAAAATAATTTTATCCAATTTTATAAATTGAACGTACTTCTTGATGAAATGCTCGCGAATATTTTGATATTGGTCTTCGTCATCGCTACTTGTGCTCTCACTATATGAGTCACTGTGCCAGTTAGATTCGCTTTCACTGCCATCTTCGCCATCGACCGCAGTCTTCTGCAATGCAACAATGCACGGAAAGATTTATAAAAAATTATTTTGATTAACCTCCGATGTTTGCAAGTCTTGATCTTACACTCTCAGAAAAAAATTCTAGATTCAATATACTATTAGGATCGAGATAGAGCCAATCATATTTAGTATTGAAAGAAGAATATCTTAATCTTAAATAGAGAAATTCTTAAATCTAGAATAATTCTGAAAAAATTAAACCCAGTTTCACAAGTGTCGGTTAACTTTTAATCTTAGATTAACTCACTCTTCGTCTCTTCCTAATGTCCATTTCTATCAACGCAGGTTAATTTGATCTTGGTTTAACTTACCTGTCATCTTTTACTAGTTCTAAAAGTTAGAAAAAAATAGAAAGTAAGTTAAACCGAGATTAGATGTTAATCTACATTGGTAGAAATGGGCATCAGAGGGACATTAGAAGAAGACGAAAAGCGAATTAATCTAAGATTAAAAGTTAACCGACACTCGTAAAACTGGACTTTAGAGGGATAGGATCAAGATTATTTTATTCTAGATTTAAAAATTCCTCTATTTAAGATTAAGGTATTCTTCTTTCTAGAGTCTAGAGTTAAGAATCCTCTATTTAAGATTAAAATATTCTTCTTTCAATACTAAATATGATTTGCCCTATTTCGATCCTAATAGTATTATATCTATTAGAATTCTTCTCTGAGAGTGTATAGACAACCTTGAACTTACACATCGGGTTTACTTGCTTCCGATCCCGCCTTCTTGAAAGCTAAGGCACTGTCCTCTTCTTCTTCGGATTCTGTAATCTCATCGGCTAAAAAATAGAAATAATTCATTATTTTTATCTTGCAAAAATTTGAACTTAAGGAGGGAAACCACTGTGACGGCCGGGAAAAAATGCTATTTTCAGATTTTTTTGCGGGAAATAATAAATTTAATCAATTGGTATATTATTTCTTTACAGTAGGGGAGACCGGGGCTAAACCGGGGCCAATTTTTTTTCGGTGCCGATTTTTAATAACAAAATATATTATTTTAGTTAAATGTGGTATACCACTGTAAAAAGTGAACCTTTAGCTACAAAATTTATATAAGAAATTTTTATCTATGTTGCTTTGTTTAACCGGTATAGAGCAAAAACGACAACGGTGGAAAAATTGAAATCTCAAAAATGCCGTAGTTGAACCGCCACCCCCCCTCCCCGGGATAAATCAGTTTCAGGTTTGGATCGCCCATGAAATATTAGAAATCTACACTGGATTCGTGTTCAGCATGCATTACTCTTTATAATCAGCATGCATTTATAATCACGTACCTCGAGATTTGAAGAGCAAATATTATTGCAGTTATTATAAAATTTCCACGCGCAGAAAATTTCACTTTTCACCACACGTTTGCCCTCGTAAAAATCATAACACGGCAGGTAACCTGCCGAAACTCCGTTGGTCACATGGGTACCATAAGCAGCGTTTACAATGATAATAGCGAGTTCGCACAATATACAGGTCACGAGATATTTGATTTGGCGGTTCAACCCCCCCAAGCAGCATTTTTCGGTTAACTTTCCGACTAAGGACTACTGTTCTACTAATCACAACGTTGTAAGCGGTCCAAGAAAGTTATAAAATGTAACTTATAATTACTAACGTTTTTTGGACGTTGTCTTAACGTTAAAATTACGACGTGCTTCTTTTATCACTTTCCCAACGTCAAATTTGAAACAGTTTAAGTCCTATTACCCGACGTTAAGATATTTAACGTTCGCTTGACGTTATACTCTGCACCACACTTTTCGAGCGACTTCAATACGTAATTCCCAACGTAAACCAACGTTTTGTTATCAAACGTTGTAAAACGCTAACGTTGTGAAACGTTGCCTGTGGTCATTTCTGACTGACGTTAAGAAATCGCGAGAAATGGTAACAAATTCTGCCTTAAAAAATGTAGAGCAGATTACTGCTGCGTCAAGCGGGCATCGCCGACGGCAATTCGCGGCGTCGTGCGTGAGCTACGAGGACTATGCACCCAAAAAAAAAAATTCTGCAGTTTAGCGGTTCCTGGTTCATGCTAGAGGATTTTCCTCTGATATATGGCCTTAAGAAGATGTTTTAAACTGTAGAAGAATATCCTCTAATCATGAGACTCTAGATTCAAGATTGTGTCCTCTTAATATTAGAGGACATTGATTTCCGATATTCACCCGAAATAAATAAAAAAAAATTATTTATTTTGAAATTTTATTACTATTTTATAACTAAATTTGTTTCTTAAGATGTAGTCTATGATTATAAATATTTTCTTGTATTGGAAAAAACACTTACCTTGGTGGGATCGAACTCGGGACCTCTGGATCGTGAGCCAACTGCCTTACATGGTAGACCACTTCCAAGAAGACTAGAGACCAGGAGACCGAACTCCAGTGGTGGGGGTGAGTCAAAATGTGGTCCGGCGCTGTTTGCAGTATGGTCGCCGGCCAATTCATGAATTACGCTACGTGCTGGATAAGTTCGAATCTTTACGTTGTTTGTTCTCTAGTCTTCTTGTTTGTTGCAAACCGTTTAAAACAAAGTGAAATCATGTCTAAAGTGTGTTGCATTGTGAATTGCGAGAGTAAATGTCCCAATTTGGATTCGAATAAAAGGACGCTATTTGGATTTCCGAAGGTAAGTGTATTTGAAATTGTATTTGAATAAAAACAAGTGTTCAATAAAAAAAAGACTGAATAAAAGTTATGTTATTAAAGTTATAATATATATTTAAAGTTATGTAAAAATATAAGGAGATAAATATAAAGGAAAAACCATAATTTTATTTAAAAAAAATTACATTGCATTTTACACATCCAATATCAATAAACATTTTTATGTACAATTTAGCTGTTCCGAGGAAGCTATTATCAATTTCATTACAAAAATTTATATGCTTTGAAAAACCAAGAGTTTATCAATACAATTCAAACTTTCAACAATATCTCTCACTGATTCTGGCTCAGGTATTAGCCACTTTATATGGTTTTGTTTAAAATATATCTCTCCGTTCATGTTCGAGAATCAATGATCATATTTAATTTTATAGTATAATCATTCTCTGCTTTAGCAAATATTATGCGGTGATCTTGCGCAACAAATCCCCAACTTTCATGTGGCAACTGAATGAGTTTTGCATTCTTTCGTAGATATTTAAATAGACAATTTTTGCATGTCTTTGCAATCCTGTAGTCGCCGTGTATTTCGCAACCTGCTTTTACGAATCTTTCTTCAATTTCTTCTCGATATTCGCCCATGTTTGCATCAATTACTTTTCCAGACTCAGTGCCCTATGCAAAAAAATTTAATTAATTATATTTTACAACACAGAATATCGTATTTTTTTTATCACTTGTTTTATCCAAAAAAAGTTTCCTATGTGAACTTCGTCGTTCCTAAGTATCATATATTATTTATTAATACTTACGACATCAAAATTAAATTCAGTGTTTACATCTGCCAAGATGCCAAGCTGATGTTCTTGGTTATGTTGCACGAAGCTCTTGCACCATCTTGCACCGGAAATCCAGCACGCCGTAGTTCATGAATTGGCCGGCGACCATACTGCGAACAGCGCCGGACCACATTTTGACTCACCCCCACCACTGAAATTTTAAGGAGTTTGGTCTCCTGGTCTCTAGTCTTCTTGACCACTTCTTAATTTGATGTGTTATATATTGTCTACATAACCAGCGCAAATATATAATTTTCCAAAAATCATCTTAATAAACAAATTCAGTTTAAAAAGAGTAATAAAATTTTGAATTGGATATAAGATATATGATATAATATTTCTTAATGTCGGGTGAATGTCAGAAACCAGTGCCGGTTTATTATGAAATTTTGTGTTCGTAAATATATTTATGAAAATAGTATGTTTATAAAGTTAAAACGTTAAAACATTCTTATCTCAAATCCTTACAAGGGCCTCAATAGACAAAAATAAAAAAACGTTTCTTATGGCATCCCTAATAAATAATGATCGGGACCTTATCCGGTTAGCCCTAATAAATATGTATTTATGAAGTTAAAACATCCTTATCAAATCCTTACAAGGACCTTATTAGATAAAAATAAGGAAACCTTTCTTATGGAATCCCTAATAAATAATGATCGGGACCTCATCAGGTTAAAATAAGGAAATCTTTCTTATGGCATCCCTAATATATAACTAATGATCGAGGACTTATGTTATGTAAGGCCATTCTTAATAAAGCCCCTTGCACAATACCAGGCAACAGGCAATAGGAACAGGGAATAGAAATCAGAAATCAATGTATAAATGCAGAATAAACAGTGACACAGGCAATAGACACAGAAGTTTCCGTCACGTTGGAAATTATGTGTCTATTGCCTGTTGCCAACAAATCATAACATTCGAATATTTTAGGTTGTAATTAACGATTTTTTATTATTTCCTGTTCCTATTGCCTGTTGCCTGGCATTGTGCAAGGGGCTGAACTTTCTACACGGGCGTCTCGTGTGGTAGCGTACGCATCGCGTAGCTAATAAGACGATCGTCTTTTAACTTTAACGCGCGCGCCGCAAATATCTAGCATATCCTCTTATTTTAAGAGGCTAATAGTAGAATTTACTGTAGAGGAATTTACTCTTGATTATAGCTTGCGCATCCACTCATTTATAAAGTAATACGTATTACTTAAAGAAGGATATTCTTCATGTAAGATTTTTTGCTTAGAGGAACTGCTAAGAGGAATTCCCCACTTATCGGCAGAATATTTTTTTTTGGGTGTGCGACGAATGTTGACGATCCACGGCCGAACCGGTCCATCTCATCTCACGCGGTTATCGTCGCGTCGGGAAGCAACGCGCGCACGCCGCGCGGTTCACAGCTCGAGAGCGCGTTCGCTCGGCTGCACGGCTGCCATAACCATGCTCTAGCTAGATCACCATAAATGGTATTGCATAGGTCGGATTTGGTTAAGATATACGACTCATTCGCAAATCTAGTATAGCATTTTCAACTAATCGATACTTTATCGACATGTTAAGTCAGTTTGGCAACCTTGTTAAGACTTTTAGTCAATATAGGTACAATTTTGCCTACAGTGGTATACTACTTAGTTTGCAAAAATCTGAAAAAGTTCATTATTTTATACGAGAAGACAATTAAATCTTAGTAGAATTTATCGCACCTTTCACTACGTAAAGTTTGATATAGTGTGGAACGCTGACTTTGCCATTTTTATTCCTCAAAGAGGAAGGCAAATAATCCGCCATTTTCCAGTATATTTAGATTTATATCTTTTAACGCACTTTATTAATAATTTAAAGCATTTATATAATATCTGTTGTTAAAGTTTTGACAACATATTTATCTTAAAAGTAATTTTGATGAAAAAAAATTTAAAATCTACACTTTGAAAATTTTAGTTATTTATTAGAATATTTAGTAAATTGGAATATTTTAGAAGGGATTCGTCTAATTTCGACCTATCATTTCCACATTTATCAATAAAGTGGGTTTCGTTATACATTTTCAGTGCTGGGTTCGTGTATTTATGACAAAATTGCAATAGTATCAAAGACTGCGCAAACTATATTTTTCCTATAAAGCCATTTTATTTGTGCCAAATTGATAAGTACGTATTATGATACATTTATTACACCAATGCCGTCATATGGTTTGAATGGAAGCACGAAAACTACACCTAAAATGTACGTTGTGAAAAAATAACCTCAGGTCTAGCAGAGTGTACAGAATCAAAGTTTACAAAAATTACTTATACTAACGTTAAAACTGGTGAAAAAAATGTAACCTCAATTTAACTTATATAAGTTGAATCCCAACGTTGGTACAACCTAAATTTGATTCCCCAAATTAGTGCAAAAGAGGGTTGAAACGATGTAGCGAAAACGTTGGATACCAACGTTAAGTGTGTTTATCTTAACGTCGGGCGGACGTCAAAATGCTGCTTGGGCCGTTGGCGGTTTAGCCCCGGTCTCCCCTACATATATTAAATATATTATAAAAAACAAATCATTACAAAATATAAAAATAGGATTTCTTTTTCCGGCCATCACAGTGGTTTCCCCCTTAAACAAGCGTTTATAATAAATGTTTCTCATATTATTAAAACCTTTTTTCTTCTTCCTCGTCGTTGTCCTGATCGAGATTCTCCCCATTTGGCGGTTTTTCTCAAAGTCATTATATTTTCGCAATTTTTGATGCAACGTTGAAAGCAATTTGGAATTATTCTTGGACATATATTCTTGTATCCGTCGCAGTCATCCAACACCTCGTTGATGAAATCTTTCATCTCGACCTAACATCTAACGTAGAATCGTGGTGTTTGTTCAAGCTCGTCCTTTGTGATCACGAGTAAAACTTTCTGATAAGCTCGCATCAAGTCTTCAAAACCTAGAATTATGAGAACAAATACTTAGTACAATAAAAGCGCTTAAATACACCAACAAGTTTCTAAAAAAAAGTTGTATTTGCTCAAATATGTAATTAAAAATACACGGTCACACGTATAACTGCTTCATATTCACTGTCCGTACTAAAAATCTATAGTTACTGTTATGTATACTTCAGATTTTCAGTACGAGCAATGAATATTGAAATCAACTTATATGAAGCAATTAAACTTTTTATTACTCTCATGTTCGTCTTCCTCACAAAGAATAAAGGAATTATGGATGAACGCACTATAGTCGTTTTCATCGTCGAAAAGTTATGCACAGTATAAATCTAAAAGTTTTTTTAAAGCTTATCTCCCTCTCCATGTAACCTTCTTTATCAGCTATTGACTTTTTTATGTACATGATATTGCTTGTCATGACGGTAACCTGTTTTATGATTTACAAAGAAAATTGCAATAAAATTATAAGACAAGTAGGGGAGGGCCTCTATGATATTAACATCATTGTAGGCGCGTAATACAAATAGTTATTGAGATAAACAATGGCGCGGAATTGTCAACCGCGCGGTAATTGCCAACTCTCCCCTAATAGCAAAACTTTTGAGTTAAGGTAATAAAAAGCTTAAAATGGTTATTTATTTTTCTTGACTGTTCAAACTTCTTCCATCAAGTCAGTGACTATGGCATAAAATAAAGCAATCAATCAATCAATCAATCAATCACTCAATCAATCAATCAATCAATCAATCACTCAATCAATCAATCTCTCTCTCTCTCTCTCTCTCTCTCTCTCTCTCTCTCTCTCTCTCTCTCTCTCTCTCTCTCTCTCTCTCTCTCTCTCTCTCTCTCTCTCTCTATCTCTTTTCCTCTTTCTGTCCCTCTACTCTCCTCTTAAAGATGATTACATGGATCTTTCCGTTACAATAAATCACTCTCACTTGCGCTAACCACGCGTCATGCGTCATCCCTCACGATACACATTGACACGTGACGAGGTTAAAACGATATACATAACATTTGATACGAAGTAACGCGCGCAACACATCGAAATAACCAATCAGCATCGCAGAAAAGAGGCAACAATAAATTCGACTATCGACTTAACACGGCAATTTTAAGATGGGATACAGATCTGAAAATAATTTTGTTGCCATCAAAATAATTATAGAAGGTCGCTGAAGTATGATAATGCTGCAAAAAATTTTGACATTTTAGCAATCAGTTTCATCTACATAATTATTTTGTATCTAGCTAAATTTTTAGATACTTCGGCAAAACTGTTCTTTTTGTGATATGAATTGCTCATTACATTATTATAGTATATGGAAAAATAATCGGCTATTTTATATCTGCAGTTAAGTTAATCGCGTAAAAAAGGCTTTTTTAAATTAAAAAATTATTTTTTTTAAATAAATATATAGGTATCGATTGTAGTTTGCAGTGTTTGTGTCTGCCAAATGCACTATAAATATTGCTATCAAGGTTCTCTCAACTGCATCACTTTTTATTATGTATACAATTGAATACAACTCGTTTCGAATTAAAAATCAAATTGTAAGTTGGTCTTTTGCTGTATGCAATTAATTAATATAAATAATATATAGAATAACTATTTTTGATAAGCCAGACTTTATACAAAATAGCCTTTTTCCAAATTTCCAACGAGACTAATCAAAAAATAAAATGAAATGTTGATACCAAAGGTGAAGCGATTCTTAGAAGAGCTTGAACACATCTGTGACGAACTAGAAGATAAGAACGAAATAGCTATCATAAAGAAATACGGAAACGAAGCAAAGCGTTTTGCGGGCATAATTATATGTAAGACAATTTCTCTTGATATTTAATACATATTGCAAAAAAAGAGTAGATTACAATTGTAATTAAATAAATTTATTTAATTATTTTTACTTATTCTAAATAAGTGCAGATATCATATTTTAAAATATAAAAAATATAATTAATTTTTTAAACATTCTTAGTGTTTTACTGCGGCAATGTAGCTGCTGTTACTTCTATCGTAATTTTACCGGTCATTCCTGGTGCTGTCGTCATAAATAAATCTCAAATGCATCACCTAATACAAAACCTAATGCCTGTGTACTATGTTAACCAAGAAGAATATTTTTATTTACTGTTACTACACATGTATGCAGTCATGATAATCGGAGGGACTGCAATGGTAGCAGCAGACCTAATGCTCTTAGGCTACCTTAAACATGCCTGTGGCATGTTTAGAATCGCCAGGTAAAAAAAATAAATGTGAATAAATGTAACAGTTGCGTAATTGCAAAAAATTTGTTAAAAATTATTCTCATTTAGCACAAATTTACACATGAAAATAATGTTGCTATCGTATTGAAGTCACTTTTGTTACCATACGTATATGTTATATAAATACGAATAAACTTTTCCTTAAGATAATAAATTGTTTGACGTTTGTGCAAAATCTTTTTTATTAACAAAATTGAAAATTGTGTCTATCAGAAAAAAGTTCGTAAAACATTATATTCTTATTTTTAACAAATAACGCATTTCATTATTGTAATAATAGCTTTTTGATGGTAAAACAGGAATTAATGTTATTTAATTTGTTGATGAAATGTTTTATAGATTAGAAAAAGTACTTTTACAAACAAATTAATTTTTTAAGAAGTTTTTTCCTTTCCAAGTAACAAAAATAACAAAATGACAAAATGTATGTTATACTAGCAAATTATTTTTCTTCATGCAATAAGATTATATGTATATTATATAATTATAAGAAAATTATTTATAGTTACCGCATCGAGAAAGCATTGATGACAAATATGGTGAAAAAGGTTAGCTTAAAGAACGAGATTATAATGTATAAAGAAATGATTCTGGCGGTAGATATTCATCGTAAAGCTATCAAGTTAGTATTTATCTACTAATAGCAATATAATATAAATAATAATATTTTATGTTTTTTTTAAAGGTTCTCTGAGGTCCTGTTTGATAATTTTCAAGGATCGCACTTTTTTTTAATAACAGTTGGTGTGATTTGTTTGAGCCTCAATCTTTATGGAGTGAGTTCTCGCATTATTATTATACGTATTTTGATGTGAATAATGTCATATTTTACGATATCAAAATTACCGAGATTTTGTACAGTTTCGAAAGATCTGTACAAGGAAGAAATTTTTTCTAACTTTCTGTATTATGTAAATTTTTCAATGTGTTCCGAAATGTAAATTTTTCTATATATTCTAATATGTATACACACATGATAATCGCATTATATTTCAGATTACTAAGACACTTGGAGATGATATCGAACAATTTATAATACACTTTTTAATTGTAGGTATAATCTGGATATATTTCTTTCTAGTCAATTATACCGGGCAAGAAATTACAGATCACTATAACCACGTATTTTCCACAGCGTAAGAGATAATATATGCTACAAATGTATTTTCTATTATTTAATTATTTTGATGCATTGCTTTTATGCAGTTTTTAATTCACACAGTTACAATGTTCGGTGGTACATAGCACCATTACACGTACAAAAACTAATATTGTTTCTCTTGCAAAGAGGTAGCAAAACTATCAACTTACAGCTAGGCGGAATATTTATATTATCCTTAGAATTTTTTGCTACGGTAAAAGTTTATGTTGTATATTACGTATAATATTTTGTGAATATTTATTTGTGATTTACGACATATAAGAGATATTTTATTCTAGCTAACGAAGGCATCGATATCTTATTTCACCGTTGTGTATTCCACGCAACAATGATGCGATTATATCCAAGAGTGATTGTCATTTTTATATTGTGAGCGGTTCAATAAATCAGGCACAACGTACCTAACTGGATTGCAAAAGAACAAAACGTTTTATTGTAATTGGCTTCACTATATGCTCAATCGCGCATAATTTATACTTGAACATGTGCCACGCTAGCAAGCCTTGCGAGGACTAACTATATAGCGTAGAAGGAGATGGCACCGTAGACATAAAAGGGGGGAAAATAAACGATACCGCATTTCAATGCCATGATAGGGAGCACAGCGGCAATCACACCACAAGGCACCCGAAAACGCGCGTACACGCACCCCACGCACACATGCAGTCGTACATATGCGTACTGCGCGCCGCACGCACACGCTCGCATACGTGCTCGTACGTCTGCCGCTCATGCACGTACGCCGGAACACTCGTTCGTGCGCCCACACGCGCTCACCCACGCACACACGACGACTCTTCGTATACGCATATAGCACGTACTTGCGCACACGCGTCCACTCACACACACACACAC